GCATCAAAGGTTTTGATGAAAAAGCACTAAGCACTAAGACGTGTTTTACGAGCGTTTTTTGCAGCGTTTTTTGCAGCGTTTTTTGCTGCGTTTCTACAGATATTAGGTTCTATAAGCATTTAACATGCACTTGGATGGGTTTTTGAACGGCTTTAGATGCCCCGAAGTGTATGCAATAGCTAAGAACTGAGTCTGCACTCCCTTCAAATTTTAAAAGTTACTCAAAAAAACACAAATATTTAGAACCAAAGAATTTAAAATTTAATTAAATGATTAAATTAAATTTCTAAAATCTTAAATATAATTGAAATGAAATTTCCCCTCCCGTCATTCCATCTCTGGAATGTATCTCTGGTAAAACTCTTAGAACACCTCTCTCTCCCACTCTCTCTCTTGCTCTTTATATCTCTCGCTGCTATGCAAACGCACTTTGACCTTTTGCATACACACCTTTGCTTCAGTTCTCTTGCTGGGTATTGCTTGGCTGTCAGTACGCTTTTCTTTTTCCAATTTTAACTTTTCCCCGAAATGTCATCAGCGGCGACGGCGACGGCGACGGCGGTGGCGGTGGCCATTGTGGTCTTTTCCGGCTTGAACTGAATTCAATGTTTATCTGAGGAAATCTTTCTCTCTCTCTCTCGCTCTGTTAAAGTCAAGTCAAAAGTCTGGTCTCCTCCGCCTTGCCACACCGGAGAGAGGAGGCGAGGTGAGAGCTTTATGCAAATCCTAGCACACAGACACACACACACACACACACACACACACACACAGAGAAAGAGGTCCTAAACGCAAAATGCTACTAAGCCCACTTACTTACAATTTAGCAAAGAAAATAAAAACCAAAGAGAGAGCGAGCACACACAGAGAGAGAAAGAGAGAAAGAGAGAAAAAAATCATATTGCGAAAAACGAGAGTGTAAAATTCTTTATTTTTTTGCATAGTACAACCCATAAAAACGAAGGGGGGGTTGGGGGAGGGGGAGGGGGAAGGAATAAAACAACAAGCAACAGCGGCAGCAACATCAACAGCAACAGCAACAACAAAAACTGAATCCCAGAGCTTTATGGCACGCACACAGACACACACTCGTATAACACTTGACTTTATTCGCAAGTGCCTTAATAGTGTGCGTGTGTATCTGTGTGTGGACTACTTTCTGCGTTCTGTGCGGGCGTTCGGCACAAAATCCAATCAACATAACGAGCTACAAGCGCCGCTGAGCGCCCTGGCATAAAAACGCAAAAAAAAATACATATGTACATATGTACATGTACACAAGTGTATGTGTGTGTGTGTGTAGTGGGTGTGCGTGTGTGTGATTGTGGGAACACTGAAAGAAATTATGTTGCAAGGGGATAAGGCCCCTTAAGCCCAGCCCAAAAAAAATGAATGGAATCCCCTCTGGAATAATCTTTTCAAAATTGTGATTGAAGGAACTTATGTTCGTTGGGGATTTTGGTATAACAAAAATATATATGAATAAATGCGAAATAAATCTGATAGATTGCTGCTCCAAGTGGATGCTGAATCCTTTGGAATAAATCTTGGAATTTCATGAAAATTTGGGTATAAATCGGAAAAAGGTTTCGACATGTTCCACTGAGACTTAACTTTTATTTGTTTCAATTATGGTAGTCCAGGCCCCATAATCAATCTTTAAATCGTTTCGTGCCACAGTTTTGCCATTCCGTTCATTCAACTTGTGGCAACAACAGGGGCCAAAAACCAAGGCGGCTCAAAACCAGCGGCTGACTAACAGAATTCCTGTTGTCGTTGTTGTTGTTGTTGTTGTTTTTTCTGTGCGGGGGCCAAAAAGTGTGTCGACGACACCACACTCTCACGCACAAACAAATGAAATAAAAGTAAACCCATTTACACCACACACAGGGTGATAGAGGGGGACGGGGGTGGGGGCGGTTGGAGCTTTTGGCGCCAACTGCTTTGGCAAGCTGCAAATGTGGGACATTTGGCAGTCGCATTCGCATTGTTAACTTTCTTTGACAGCGGGCCAAAAACACACAAACAACAAACACAACAAAAAATAAGGGACCTCCTAGGGTCCATGTCCTCCTCTCTTGCAGTGCAATCGTTGGGTCTCGTTGTTTCTTTTTTCTTCTGCTTATTATACTCTCTTTGTACCACCCCCGCTGGGGCTTATGATTTTGATTGGGATACAAATACACCATAAAGGCGATTTATTCTGCTGAGGAATCAAGTTTTATTCGTATTTTTGCTGCAGTCCAAAGATCGGCTTGAGTAGGTTCGAACCACCCTGAAATGACACACTAACAGACACCCGAGTATCATTGTCTATCGAGAGAGCGAGTTAGCAATAAAGAACACAGATTAAAGAAGGCAGAACCTTCTGCTTGAAAATATCATCCAAACGCACATTTCCTTATCGGCAAGATCAGCACCGCGGCGCGCCGGCAGAATTGCAATGTCAATTGCAGCAACACTTTTTCATAGTCTCTTTCCACCGTCACCTTCGCCTTTCGATGCTTACCAGGCAGCGGAGTAGCTGCGCCATAAAGTATTGTGTTTATTTGTGTGTGTAGGCCCATAAAGTATCACATTTGTTTGTATTTTGCGCAGCGGCAGCAGAATTGCGATGCAAAAACGAATGAAAGGCAGAGGCTGAGGAACAGAAGCGGAATAAGTTATCACATTTATTTGTATTTTGCGCAGCGGCAGATCAGCGTCGCCAGAATTGCAATGCAAAAACAATTGTTCGGCTTTCGAGACTTGAACGAGCATGCAAGGCAGGGGCTGCGCCATAAATGTGATATTTGTTTGTATTTGTTCGCCTTTCGAGACATGAACCAACAGGCAAGGGTTTGCAAGGTAGAGGCTAAGGAATAACCGCAACAGATCGGCAGAATCACAATGTAAATAGCAAAAACAATTGTTTGTCTCTCTCTCTCTATGAAAAAACATGCAAGGCAGAGAACAGTCGCCCCATAAAGTATGCTGTTTGTTTCAAAAATAATTAATTCTACAGTGGCCCCATTAAATATGATATTTGCTTAGCAGATCAGCCGAAATAGAAACTAATATAAATTGCCATAACTATTTCATGCCTTTTAAGACACGAATGAACATGTCGGCAATGATCTTTGATTGAACCCGGCTCGATCAGACTCAATAAAGATCGTTGTTTCCTAGACTAGAGCCCTTGTTCTACACAACTCCCTCCCCCAAGAACCTAAGCCGTCGCTCCATAGTTTTCTTCACACATTTTGTTGCAATGCCAAAATCAATTTGTTTACAATCTCCAATGACAAAGAGCATTACTTGCTTTGCTTTTGCCCCAACACCCAACACCAAACTCCCTCCCCCACCCCCCACACAGAGATGGTGTTACGGTGTGGCCTTCTTTTTCTGGCCTTTCTTCTGTGGTGTATCTGTATCTGCAGCTATGGCCACAAAACTACAGCCAGTGGGTGTCCGTGTATTTATGGGTTGAAAATTGCAGTCACAGCAGCAGCAAATTAACACAGCACGAAACGAATCGAATGCCCAGCGCCAGCCCCACCCCCACCCCCAACCCCAGCCCCAATCCAGTCCCAGCCGCAGCCACAGCCTACTGTTTGCAGCCTGTTGCCATTCCATATTCCATTCTGATGCCCATTGTGTGTGTGTGCGCTGCATGCCCCTTTCAACAAATTGATTATTTGCATGGAGACCCTACAGCCTGCCGCCTGCCGCCTGCCGACTGCTGCTGGCCACAGGAGCCGCCTGCAACAACTATAATGGCACTCCACTCGGTCATGGCCACGGCAGATGTTCGTTCGTTCGTTCATTCGTTCTGCCTGTCTGTCTCTCTCTCTCTCTCTCTCTCTCTCTCTCTCTGAATGTGCGTCAGAAATGGGCGTGGCAGCCGCACGCACTTATCGCCCATGCAACAGCAGCAGCAGCAGCAGGATCCCAACGGCCACTGGAGTGAAGAGAAAAATGCTTATAAAAGGATTAATTCGATTCCAATATACGCACACAGACGCACCCAGCACATCCTCACTATCCTAGCATTCAGCATTTCCACATTTTCCATTTTCCATTTGCCATTCGGTATTCGGTATTCAGGCTTGGCTCTCTTTTGGTCGGCAGGCAGATAGCAGCCGGGTATATTGCCAGTCATTGTGTGGAGCATTGTTTTAAATGCCCCCAAACCAAAATGATTGTTGCACAAATGAAACGAAGAGCAATGAATGTCTGCGAGTGTGGTTGGGGTATGCCTCGAAAGGGTATCAAAGAAGGGCATAACGAATGGAGAGTGCAGGCCAGTCCCCAAAACCCAGAAATATTTATGCAAACTTCCCTGGCTTCCCTAACTTTTGTTGTTGATCGTTTAAACTTTCCAACTTTCTCCACACACATTTATGAATCCCCAAACGTTCGAGTCTTAATCCCCAATGATTAGAGCATCTCGGGCCTGGCCAGAATTTTTCCCGAAGCCTTAATGAAGGCCCTCCGCTCTATGGCTGTCTACCGAAACAGATTAAAGCTTCATTATTGGTGTGGCAAAACGTTTTCAATTTTCAATTTGGAGAATCAAGCGCCAGTATTAATTGAATTTATAGCCACACACACACACACACACACACACACGGCCTGGAGACACAGCCACAGATGGAGACAGAGCCACAGATAGAGACGGAGACAGAGACGGAGACGGAGACAGAGACAGAGATAGAGATAGAGAGAGTGTGGAAGGATACACACGAACGTTGTTGCATAGATTGAATTGCATTTCAGGTGATGCCAGGGCACAGATTGGCCAAAATGGCATGTTAATTGGTCTAAATTTGATTTCCAATTTAATGTCACACGCCTCACACAAGTGCCACAGGCCCCGGCAGGCTGTGGGGCGTATCGATATCATTATCAAATTAGTTAATATTTCTCTCGCCGTCTTGCATTTCAGAGGCCACACACCAGGAGGCGGAGGAGCACACACAGCAGCACCAGCAGCAGTAGGAGGGACACACCGAGGCCTAGCCATGGGCAGTGGACACTATTTCTGGGCGATTTTCTACTTTGCCAGCCTCTGCAGTGCTTCACTGTAAGTACAGTAGAGCCCCCGCTCACCATCCTCCCTCCACACAGATACACTCTCATACAGTAGCTGCAAATAGTAAACGCTTCTTCATCGGATTTTTTTTCCACCGCTTTAATAATTTGCGTAGCACTACTTCGGCCTTTATCTGGCATTCGCGTGGCTCTGTTGTACGACAGCACTTGGGTCCCCGGGAAAGTGGATTTCCAAAAATGTAATTTGCATACAATTCTCATTAATTTTTTGGGCCCAAACAGAAGCAGAGCCAGGCCCGTAAATACTCGTTGAAAATCGGTTAATGCCCCTCCACTTGAGGGCTGAAGTAGTCGTGTAGTTTATGCCTCTTCATCCACTTTACACAGACACACACAGACACAAAGACACACAAACACTCTCATTAAAATGTAATTAAATCTTCGTGTAATATTTTTGTCGGAGCATAAATTTTGGAATTATTTACGCTCAAGTCGAGGCCAGAGTCAGCAGAAAATACGCATCCATCTATGTGACTTTGGTTTCTTCTTCTGATAAGTGCGACAGTGTATAATACTCTATCTCTCTCTGATTCCGCCACTGATTTGTACATAACAAAAAAAAAAATAATAATAATAAATGCTGTATGAAGCTTTTCTTTCCAAAAATATTCAACATAAAATTCAAGAACCAATTTGCTGATCAAATTATACCGTTCGTACGTTATCCCCATATCCTGATTTCAGAGCAAATAATGCCAAAATAAATTTCCGAGAAAAGGAGAAAAAAGTCTTAGATCAAATTTTAGGTGCAGGCAAATACGACGCCCGTATACGACCATCCGGAATCAATGGCACAGGTGAGAATACCCCTAACATAGCACCGCTACCCTTAATTTGGAGTTTTGTGTTTTTGTTTTTCTTTTTTTAAAAGCGTTTCCTTTTCCGTTTCAAGTGCTCTCAAAAAACCTATGATATTTAGTGTTAGACTTACAACAAATCAAAAACGAAATCGATATCGAAATCGAATCGAAACGAAATTCTAGCGATAATCTAAGTAACTAAATTAGTCTAGTATGCCCGTTCAGTTGTCGGAGCTTAGTTAAGTTATAAATTCACTAATTTTGCAAAATGTTGTCGATAAACTCACAATTTAAACCCAAACTTTATGCCAGATGGTCCCGCCATAGTCAGAATCAATCTATTCGTTCGAAGTATTATGACGATTAGTGATATCAAAATGGTAAGTCCCTCTCATGCACGGAGAACAACCCAGAAAGAATGAACGAAGCCGTACAGAATTTGAAAATTGGTTAGAGATTCGACAAAAATCCCCCACCCCACACCTCCTCTAAGCTCTATCTCCATCTGTGTCTCTGTCTCTATATTTATCTCTGCCACATCTCATCTAGAACTGCTCTTGCCTCACACAAACACACCCAAAAACACCCACACACACACACACCAAGTTTTCTTTTTGCGCTATATCCAATATGTCCACATCACACATTGCGTTTGATTTTAGCCACTGTTTTTTTGGTGGCAGTTTTTTGTACAAGTCTTACTGTACTTTGCCCTGTATGTACGTTATCCTTTACGTTCCCGTTGTGCTACTGGGTGCTCTAGAGTCCCGCCAGCAGCAGTCAATCGTTTGTTTGTTTGTTTTGTTCATGCGTTTCTTTCTGAGTTCAAGCTACATGAAACTATTGGCGGGCGGGCTGATAAACAAACAAAAAAGACCAATTATAGCCCATTTTTCGGCTCATCAGAAAACGAATAATAAGATGTACCATACTTTTAGGAAGCTTGATATAAAAGACACTAACACACCGCAAACAAAAGTGTTGCCTGCTTTTCAGAGGCCTCAACATAAAGGAGTTTGCATATATCGTTGCCTACTTTTGGAAGGGGTCCGAACATCAAGAAGTCTTTTCACAAAACGTTGCCTACTTTTGGAGGGGTCGCATCATAAATAAGTTTTTGCAAAAAGTGCTGCCTACTTTTGGAGGGGGTCTTCTATTGCTGGCTACTTTCAATTAAAATGTTGTCCTCTACCCCGCTCACCTTTTTTGCATATGTACGTGTTTTTTCCATTAATACAATTTATTGAACATTTAAAATCGATTACGCCCAACGATTCCCCCCCGCGAATTACGAATCGTTGCCAGAGTTCATGTTTTTTGCCGTTAATTTAATTATGATTAAATTTTTTTGATTTCCATTTTCCAGTTCATTTTGTATTGACTTTTGCCACAGCAGCAGCAGCAGCAGCAATAGCAATGACATCCAATGACATCATTAATAATGTAAAAGCATCATAAATATTTGCAAAACTAGCACACACACCAACGCTCTCACACACAAATAAATATGACAAATATCCATAGCCGAGTATAATACACATTTATATCTACCCTTAAAGTTCGATTAATAATAAAACTATTAAGGCATATCAATTAGCAACACACTGAATTTCCATTTGTATTTTTGTTCATTTTCACAAACATAAACACCACACCAACATCACCAACCACACCATCCCCCTCGAAGGTCACAAACCACCGCCACCGCCATAGACAAAGCAAAACAAAAGCAATTCTAGTATTAGCTTAACTTAGCCTAAAACAGCAGCAAAAATAGCTTTAATTTCTTTGTATCTTTAGAATGTAAGAGAGAAAAACAAAGCACCAAAAGAAAAGACAAGCAAATCGGGCCCAGCTGCTCCGTAACGAGCTCCATGGCCTTTTTCTTCTTGGCCAACAGAGAGGCGGCACGCGACTCGATGGTTTTTGGTTCTCCATTGGGACTATTAGCGCGGGCTAGTATTTTTATATATTTTTCATTTCTTTTTCTTGTGTTTTCCAACACCAGATATTTTTCCAACACTAATTTTCTTGTATTTCCACAAAAAATAAAACTCTATTCAAGTTTCAAGGGCCGGCCGCCTAAGTAAAAGTGTTGCTTGCTTTTGGGAGGCCGCTCATAAAAAATATACAAACAGCATTGCCTGCTTTTGTGGGCCGCCCATAAAGAATCTACAGAAATTATTGCCTGCTTTTCGGGGGCAGAGGCCTCGTTTCTTTTCGGTTCATTTTTTAAGTGATTTTTCTTGCGGAGCAGCAGTTGTTGTTTATAAATTAAAAAAAAAAAACAAAAACGTATTGTCCATATGTATCGTCTACCCTCCAGATGGTCCCGCCGTTGTGCGCGTCAACATATTCGTACGAAGTATATCGAAAATCGATGATGTGACTATGGTAAGTGCCCCCCACGCCGTGTGTAATCCTCCAACAACAACTATTTGCAAATCTTAGGACCCTCTTTGACATTCTGTTCTACTCCCATCCTTCTCTTCGTGTGACGCGTGCTAGGGCTGTTGTTGTTGTTCTTGTATTCCGCTCTATTTCTCTCTTAGGAACACCACAGAAAAATAATAATATTCTAAAATACATATAAATATTAAATTCTTTATCTATTTATAATACATATTAAAAGAACTATGTTTGACTATCGATGTGATTAAATGATTTATCGTCCATTGATGATGATTTATTTCCATTTTGTACAATTTTCGCCTTTAGTTTTTTTTTCCGAAAGTTTTTTAGCAAAATTCTCTGGCATTTGTTTTTGTTTTCCATTTGCATTTTTACAAATTAGAAAGTTTTTCTTCCGTTTGCATTGGTAATTGAATTAGTATTTCCTTCTTTTCTTCATTATAAAAATAAAAAAACAAAACAAAAAACATGTAAAAAATAACAAAAACAAAACAAAATGTCTTTTTGGATCTCTTTCCTGTACACATCTCTCGCTATCTCCTTCTGTCACTCACTAGCTGTCTCTATCTCTCTCTCTCTCTCTCTATCTCTCTCTGTCTGTCTATTGCTATCTCTTTTAATTTTTAACAAGAAAACTTAAACTTATCCCTAGATTAAAAACTACTTTCTACAGCTCTCTCTCTCTCTGTCTCTATCTATCTGTAAAAAAAAATCTATTAAAAATCGTATTCTTAAATTTTTATTAATAAATTAATATTGAATTAATCAATCGTAACCGAATTTAATTAATCATTTAAAAATGCGACCTACTGATGTGCCTTTTTGGAGGATTCAATTTTGAAAAATACCGTTGCCAACAAATTTTCAAATTTACGTAAATTTATTTATAATTTTCATGCTGCTATTCGTATGTACAAAATATTTAGTGGAACATTGAAAATGAAAACGTGAAAATGTGTGTTCTTGTTTTTGTCGATGTGTGTGCTTATGTGTATGTGTGTGTCGTTCCCCCACCCCCCGTACCCCACTTCACCACTCAAAAAAGTAATCCAATGGAAAATAGTTTTTCCTTGGTTTTTTGTTTTGGTTTTCACCCTCTCTAAAAATCAGTACCGTAATTGAAAATGCCATGAAAAACCATACACTATTTCATACCATAAATAAAAAATAAATATAGAAGCTACAACTAAAAATCCAATTAGCAAGCAACTAAAAATTCAGCAAAAACCAGAAAGAAAACAAAAAATACAACAACATACGTATAACATAGAGAATATTTCATTTTTCAAAATGAGATCCATGCAGACATTTTTCCCCATTCGAAAACGACTATTTTTTGGGTTTAAAATTCAATTCAATTTTGATTTTCTTGATTAGTTTCATTTCTGTTTGGTTTTCCTTTGATTTTCCATAACATTTCGCGCACACACATGAAAAAAAAAAATATATATTTATAAATAGATATGTATGCAGTTTGTAAGACTCGAAAGTTAGTTAGTAAGTACGATTAAGGTTCCAACTAAGTTCAGGTCGGATGTGGGATGATCGATGATGATTGATGATGATGGATTCTTGTAGCTAATTTGGCCACAATGGTGAAGGTGAACATGTTCCTGCGATCCATATCGAAGATTGATGATTACAAAATGGTGAGTCCGCCTCCGAAAAGGATCGAGCACAGCTACAGCTACACAGCTACACAACCACAAAACTACAACACACACAACCCCAAAAGCCGCTTAATTTCTCTCACCTTTCGCTGTGCGTGTCAATGTGTGTGTATCCGTGGATATAAGGTGTCATCCAATATGGAATATCTGTACATTTAATTGTAAACTATATAATTATTGTATAAACTACTGGTCGTGTATATGTATCTCTCTTTTATTGTACAGAAAATATTTATGGTTTGTCTTTATTGCGTTTCTCTCGAATCAGAGGCTCTCCCGCTTAAGCGCTTTCGTGCCTCTCTCTCTCTCTCTCTCTCTCTTCCAAATCACCGCCAAAACGCCACAAGCCGATGTCACCTGGCCTCTCAAATGCAAGCTATACCAGCGAAAGTACAACTAAAACCTACGTCTAAGTCTTAGCTATAGTTTAAGCCTAAATTTAAGTGAGAAAAAACCAACCAGCCACCAAAAACCACAGATACAGCCACCGCCATTCACCTTAAACCACCTTTGAAACCCACAAGAAATACCCGACGCTCTCATTCAGTTTCATTTTCCTTCTGTTTCGGTTTTCATTTCAATTCAAAAATAGGTTTGTGATGCCAGAAAGTGGACCGCAAAAAAGCAAAGAAATACAGAAAAGTGTCCCCAATAATTATTCATTTTTTGTATACACTTTTCCCAATCGAAAAGGGAATACAATTTTGGTTAGTTTTACGACAGAAGTGGTAATAGGCTCTCATTAGGGTTTTCCATAATCGTTTTCTGTTTCAGAGTCCCCCAATTTTTGTGTTCTAAATGTTCCTCCATCCTTTGATGTGTGGTGTATTTTTCATCACTTTTTGGCATGAATAATTCCAGTTATTCCTTAGGAAAGATGTACCGCATGAAACGTTCAATTTTAAGTTAGATTTTAAGCAAAAAAAAATACAAAAATTCATTTTTTTATATCTTTTTTAAGGAATGTTTTAGATATATAAATGTCTATGAATCTACTTAGTTTTAAGATGCCTTTGCTTTTGTCCTTTTTCACGCCGCTTGCCACCTCCTCTTAATGCTTGTTGTTTTTGCCTGCCTTTTGCCTGTGCAACACGTTGCATGCCCTGCATTTTGTTGCATTATGAAATATTTACTAGACATCAGACATGAAACAAAAAAAGCTGAGGAATATATATGCTATATAACTAATATACATGACAACCAAAAAAAAAACCCCCCAAAAAATTTCGCCAATGCCTTGCTCTCGCCTTTTTCATATTCCAACAAAAAAAAAAAGAAATAAAGAAAGAAAAACCATTTTTTGCTTAAAGAAAACCCCCCAATCAAGTTAAATTAAATGAAAATGAAATTGAAAAACTCCTCCTCTCGAAAACACACAAAGAAAATTCCCATTGAAATTTGCATTGTAGTTGAAAATTGAATTGAACCGAAAATTGCCCCTGTTTTATTTCCTTTACTAATGAGAGTTTTTCTTCGACGCGTCCCCAACCCCCACCGCCTTCGATTATCGTTCGCCCTGCAGGAGTACAGTGTGCAGTTAACATTCCGAGAGCAATGGACGGATGAGCGTCTGAAGTTCGACGATATTCAGGGTAAGTGTTGCGAAAAATACTATAAAATACTAGAAAATACCGGAAAATACTAGAAAATACCGAAAAATGCTTGAACAGAACAAATATACCATAAAATAGTAGAAAAATACCAGAAAAAAGGAAAGCCCTTTACTATAAAAACAAAAAAAAATACTAATACATATATTACAAATAAAAAAATTAAAAAATTACTGTAAACTCTATCAGAACCGTAGAAATACCAGACAGTGCTTTTAATACCGCAAATTCTAGAAAAAAAAAGAATTAGAAAAATACCAGAAAACAATATAAAAATACCCTAAAATATTAGAAAAAGATAAATACTAATATTGAAAAATACTAGATAAAAAATAGAAATATGAAATACTGGAAAATACCACACAAATTTAGGAAAAAAACCGTAGAAAAATACAAGATAATACTAGAGGCTATTCAAAAATGAAAAAATGAGCTAAATTCTTTATCTTTTTTTTAATCTTTAATCTGCAATGTGTAATCTAGAGTCTTAACCTATTTTTCGTTTGTTTGTATCCGATCTTTCTCAAAAGGTCGGCTCAAATACCTCACACTGACGGAGGCGAACCGAGTCTGGATGCCGGATCTTTTCTTCTCAAACGAGAAGGAGGGACATTTTCACAACATAATCATGCCCAATGTGTATATACGCATTTTTCCCAACGGTTCAGTTCTGTACAGTATACGTATCTCGCTGACATTGGCTTGTCCAATGAATCTCAAACTATATCCATTGGATAGACAAATATGTTCATTGAGAATGGCCAGTTGTAAGTGTTGAAACGATACAGTATCCAACGGGCCAACTAACAACTAACACCAAACATTCCATACACCCAATCCAACAGATGGCTGGACCACAAATGATTTGGTGTTCCTTTGGAAGGAGGGTGATCCTGTGCAGGTCGTTAAGAATTTACACCTACCTCGCTTCACTTTGGAGAAGTTTTTGACTGATTACTGTAACAGTAAAACCAACACGGGTACGTTTCTGTTCCTCCTCCTCCTGTTCGCTCCTTCGAAACAGCGTTTTCTTGGTCTCTACTTCTACTCTACCTCTACCTCTACCTCTACGCTACTCTACTCGCCTATGTATCTATGTATCTAACTATCTTTTGCGTAGCTTGTTTTTCGTTGTTGCTGCATGCCATTTAACCTTTTCAGTAAATGTATTATAAACAGCCTCATAACCACTTCATAGCACACATTTCCATATCGTTCTGCTGTCGAGAATCCCGAATCGAAGCTCATAAGCAGCAAGCTTTTACGACCCACACACACACACACTTGCCCCCCAAGTCGTGGTAGTCGCATTTAGATACACTTTCAGGAACACAGATACCAATTTTTACCTTGCTGTTTTTTATGAGCACATGCGCGCGCTTTTTCCCCCCGTAAATGTTTGCAACTATTCAGGAAGCAGGAGGGCAGGAGGCCAGGAGGGCAAAAGAGCACGGAGAGTAACGGAAGAAGTAATGTAAGAAGGAAAAATGTACGACAAAAGCCGTAAGGAAAGTAAATTAATCGAGGAAATTGTGTGCAACGTTGTTTAAACTTTGCACAAAGAGACATCGAAGATGATTCCCCAACGAAGACGATGATGATGACGATGATTATGTGTAGGTGAATGCAAACAACGAATCGAATTCAAAAAGATTCTTTTTCGTACAAGTTCTGGGTAAAACTACTGTTTGTGTGCCTCAGTCAGCGCATATTGGCATAAGGTGCAAATACAAGCAGAGGATGGATTCATTTGCATTTGTTTACCCAAGTATTTTCGGTATTTATTTAAGGAAAAGCTGCACCTTAAACGCCTCAACCGTTAGAGTAGCATTTAGAGGAAGTTCCTTTAGAAATTCATACGCAATCAGTGCCACCCCCCATCCCCCCAGCCCCATCATTTCCCAACCCTAAATACATAGTTATTTCAAAGGTACATACTAGAGTGCCCTGCATGAGCTCCAGTTGTTTTTAAATCAGGGTTTAAAAGTGATTTAAATCAACTAAAATTCGTTTGCAGGTCTGTAACATTGCTTAAAAATATATGAGCACTAGGGACAGAAATTATCTTAATGAACGAGGGAAAAGTTCTCATTTAACACACACAGAAAAATATCATACTTGTTGGGGCTAATCACCGCCTGGCCAAGCACCTGCATGTTCTTTCACGTCTCGAAAGGCATAAGCCTACTTTATGGGGCTACTGTGGGACCAAATATCACGCTTTATGGCGCGGCTATTCCTCAGCCTCAGCCTCTGCCCTGCAATTGTTTTTGCATTGGATTCTGCCGACGCTGATCTGCTGCTGCGCAAAATAAAAAAAGCCTCTGCCTCTGCCTTGCAAACCCTTGCATATTCGCTCATGTCTCGAAAGGCGAACATATCGAAACAAATATCATACTTCATGGCGCGGCTCTGCCTTGCATTCGTTTATGCATCGCAATTCTGCCGACGCTGATCTGCCGCTGCGCAAAATACAAACAAATGTGATACTTTACGGGGCTACACACAAATAAACACAATACTTTAAAGGCGAAGGTGACGGTGGAAAGAGACTATGAAAAAGTGTTGCTGCAATTTATAAGGCAATTCTGCCGGCGCTGATCTTGCAGATAAGGAAATGTGCATTTGTGGTTTTTTTTCGTTTTCTCTAAAGGCGACGAGGGTGTGAGGGGTTCCGAGTATATTCGACTATTGTGTGATCATGCAGGGCTCTAGTACAAACCCAATTAAAACTGTCCCCTTCATTGTGTTAGCATGAGCCTGTATTTAACTCATTTTCTCCCTCATTTTAAGCTGAAAAAAAAAATGTATTCTCTAAGATATAAGATATACATACATATACTATATACTCGTACATTTATCAACATAGATGTTGCAGTAGTGTTGTTTGCTCTCTATCTCTCTCTGTCTGTCATTCTCTCGTGTTGAAACCTAGTTGCTCACATAAAGTTTATTAATTCTATATCTTCTATGAGCGTTTTTTGCGGAGTGAGAAATGTGTGAGAGCTCGTGGTTAAGGTGCAATCAGATAGAGGCGGCGCGGTTGCTTGGTTTGATTGATGAAAGAGTCCAGCCCGGCCAGCCCAAAAGAACCGAAATCGAAATCGAAACCAAAACCAAAGGCAGAACAGAAACAGAACCAAAGCCAAAAGCCACAGCGCAGTGCAAAATGTGTGCCAGGATGTGTGCAACGATATATATTTGTTCCAGAAATCCAGAACCAGAACCAGAACCGCACACGCTGCCCAGCAAACGCATACAAAAAAAAAAATACGATAAAGGGAACACACAGATACCATACACAGAGAGAAAATCAAATGAACTTAAACGACGAACAACAATGAAAAATTCCCAAAAAAAAAAAAAATTCATGGGAAAAATATGAGAATGTTTTCAAATAATAAAACACCTTTGTCTTGAAGAGTATGGAACGCATTTGCCAACAAATTAACGGAAATGAAGCATACAACAAAGGGGCGGGCATTGTCAGTGGGCCGTCCTGGGCGGGCGTGGCCGGAAGTGTAGGGAAAATGGAAATTCGAGCATCGAACGTCAAAAACTTCATTTCCGTTAAGATTTTTGTTGTGCAAAGAAAACAAGAAAAAAATATGTAGACAGAAAATTGAAATTTTGCTGTTGAAATACTTTTTGCCTATGATGCAATTTTTCATTTGATTTTATAATTTTCCACTCTCTGTGTGTCTCCTACCAGCTTTTCTGTTTTTGTTTTCTGTATATACACCCTCCCGTTTTCCCCCTCTGCCAATGCATTTTCTTTTACCTCCCCCACCCCGACCATTTTCTGTACAGACAAAACAAATCAAAATTCTTCTTCTCTAATAAATGTTTTATTTTTTGTTTTTGGGCAAAATTTTTTGAAAAGCAAATACACCATTTTTATGTTTCCTCTCCACTCCACTCTACTCTCTCTCTCTCTTTTAAAATCTCTAATTATTGTAAAATATATTGGATATCACTAAATAAACTATCTATCTGTCTGTGTGTACTATATGTGAAACAAAAAATACGAAAAATACTACGAAGACGTAAAGACATTTCCCTCCCAATTAGATTTTGAGTTTGACACAGTTTTATATACCTTGTATACTCATAGGTGAATACAGTTGCCTCAAAGTCGATCTACTATTCAAGCGAGAATTCTCATATTACTTAATACAAATTTATATACCATGCTGTATGTTGGTCATTGTATCATGGGTATCATTTTGGCTGGATCAAGGCGCAGTGCCAGCGCGTGTGTCATTGGGTGAGTACTCCACAAAAACAACAACAACAACAACACCACTAGACACATGTGTCTGCAACAGCGAACCAGCATTGAGAACGGTTCGATCCTGAGATCCTAAGCGATCAAACATGTTCGAGGCAACATCCAATACGAAGCCGAAGCCGAAGCCGAAGAAACACTTCCCGTATACTTCCAACATGTTTTATTGTAACTGTTTGATGTTCGATGTTCTCTTTCTCTCTCTGATCTACAAAATTATCTCTAATTTAATCGAATATCTAATCATATCCTTTGAATCTGTCACACAGGTGTCACCACTCTATTGACCATGGCAACACAAACATCGGGCATAAATGCATCACTGCCACCAGTATCCTATACGAAGGCGATTGATGTGTGGACCGGCGTCTGTTTGACCTTCGTGTTCGGGGCATTGCTTGAGTTTGCCTTAGTGAACTATGCATCCCGTTCAGGTTCGAATAAATCTAGTAATTGAGATTTGATATGCTTCTTAACAACCTTATAAATGTTAATTAATCGATGGTGTTTTTTCCTTTTTTTATACTACTATTTTTGACTGTTGCTTTTTATTGTAACTCGAGTGAAATAATACTACCAATACTACTACTACTACTACCCATAAAACATATACGTATAATATTCGTATGTATGTATATGTCTCTGCCGTTAAGTGTACATACAAGAACCAGTAACACAACCAACCTATCTGTCTATCGATTGACCTGAAGAAAACACAGAACCCTGTGACCTGAAGAATGAACACAACTCTGGGGCGCTTGAACTGACTCTCACACAAAACTCACACACTTTTCCTTCCACACACAACCAGGGCAGGAGCCGAATCTGAGCCGAAGCCCCCAACCCGCCCCTACATATGTGTCTATATATATATAGCCTTATATCTGAACAAAAAATGTTTAGTCGTAGAACTTTCGATATGTGTAATATTTTTTTGTTTACTTAATTTTCATCTTTTTGATATCTAACAACAACTACAATGATGTTCTACGTGTGAATCTATACTAATCCAAGTTTTCTGTTTTACTCTCTTACTTTCATTCCGCTCCCAAAAACCATCCATCCATCCATACATCAACCATCAATCCCTATACAATATACCCCATATACCCTATGATCCACCATCCACACACAAAAACTTCTGCAAAAATCCCACGAAAAAACGCGTTTGAAAAAAAAACACAACCCGATGAATTTTGCTTTCTGTTCGGTTCTTCGATGTTGTATCACAAAAAAATAAAACAAAAAAAATGCTTGTAAATAAAAACCAAATACTTTTTGTATTAACTATAAACAATGATGTGTGTGGTAAAAAAAAAAAAATAAAAATAAAATTTAATTTTAATTAATTTTTTCAAATTTCTTTGATGAAAACTTGTTTCGAATCGTTTAAACGTGTATTTTTCTGTATTGTGTGACTATCTCTCTCTGTTTTTCTCTTTCTGTCTGTCTCTGTCTCTTTCACTATTGCTGTTTAACTGTATAACTGTGTTCTTACTGTGCGTGTGTGTGTGTGTGTGTATTACAATGCATCTAAAACTGTAAAATGTAAAAAAAAACACCATCGAAAACAACTCGACATTCTTTTTGTGGAACATATAAATTCTTGTAAACATCTATTCATCACCACATGCAACATTATATATCCTACGATATGGTATATACGGATCGGGCCGCAGACATGCATAAGGAGAATATGAAAAAGAAGCGCCGAGATCTGGAGCAGGCCTCTCTGGACGCCGCTTCAGATCTGCTCGATACAGATAGCAATGCAACGTTCGCAATGGTACTTACCTCTTGATATACTATCCTCTTTATCTCGATTCTTTTTCTTTAGAGTAGGGGGGGAGGGGAAAAGCTAGAACTAGAACTGGAAACTACCAGAAACTAAAAGAAAATATAAGCTTGCAGCCTTGCACAAAAAATATCATAAAATACTAGAAAAATAGCAGAAAATAGAAGAAAAATTAAAAAACTATAAAATTTAAGCTTTAGGAAAGAAATACAATAGAATACCAGAAAATACTATCAAATTGAAAGAAAATACCAAAAAAAAATACCAGAAAATATACAGAAGAAATATAGAAAATTACTAGACGAATAGCAGAAGATCTTTGAAGGAATCAAAGAAAACCATACCATAAAATGTTAAGAAATGTCAGAAAATAAAAGTAAAGTTACAGAGAATACTGGGAAAATACCAGAAAATATAAAATAAAAATAAAAAATACCAGAACATCTCTGAAGAAACCAGAAAATACTAGAAAAATACCAGAAATACTATCAAATTAACAGAAAATACTAAAAAAAAACAGGAAATAAATATAATATATACATACACAAATACTAGACATATACCAGAAAATACTAGAAACAAACTATACCAGAAATTACCAGAAAAATACTAGGAAACACCGAAAAGTAACAAGAATCCTAGGAAAATAGCAGAAAACTCGCAAATCTGTTGCTTTAAGAGGAGTAACATCCGTCCGAGTCCGTTTTTAAAGATTTAGGATTGCTAGGAACCAACCTGGAAGATAGATATTTAATTTCTCATTAGATGAACTGTTTGTACCCAATCCCCAATTGGGGGTCTAATAGCAAGCCCCCCTCCAACCAGTAATTGCCATCATTTGTTTTTCCTTTTCGAAACAACAAACATCGAAACGTCGAATTGGCTAAAACGAAACAAATTGCTATGATAAAACTATTAAAACAACTATTTCCTTTTATATTTGCCTCTTTCTTTATTACCACCCGAAAAACCAACAACCAAAACTGTTTTCAAACGTGTACCACCACACCACAAATAAACAACAAAAACCAAACAAAATATATATGCAAAAACCTTGCACCGAATCATCGCAAAACCACCACTCGACCGGGAATTGAATTGGAAAAATTGCAATGAAAATTAAATCGAAAATTAAATAAAATTTACGCACATGCCAATGCGAATGCATTCAACACCACCCCGCCCCCTGAAACACCACCACCACCACCACCACCACCCACTGAACAACAAACCTGCTCGAACCAACCAAAAAAAAACCCATCGAACCACCATCGAACCACCATCGAACCCCTCATTTGTTTCATGTCAAACGGCATCGCAATTTCAACGCGGTGGCGGCCAACAGAAACCGCTAGTGCGCCATCCCGGCGATCCGCTGGCCCTCGAGAAGCGTCTCCAGTGCGAGGTGCATATGCAGGCACCCAAGCGACCCAATTGCTGCAAGACCTGGCTATCGAAATTCCCCACAAGGTAACTGAGATACATGGCATCGCCGCCCCCTACCCCCTGCCGCTGACAACCGGCCGGGCGGTAGGCAGTGGCGGGGTGCCTAGTAGATCTCTTGAAATATACTTTAGTTCTATCTGTGTGTTGTGCATATAGTAGTTGATGGATTTACTTTTTGATGTTGTGAACATGTGTACTACTACTATTCTCTATTATATTCTCTTTTCACTAACTCTTGTTGACTTTTTTGCTATCACATCAAACAAAAACCAAAACCAAAACAAAAACAACAACAATCTCTCAATACAGTCTCTCTCATTGATTCCGACTACTCCTGTGAAAAAAACACCCGAAAAATCTGCCGCTTGCTTGCCGTTTGTTAAACAACAACTTGAGTTCTTTTGCTCGCTGATCATTTTTGTTGCCAAAATTTTGAAGAAGAAAAAAAAAAGTGAAGTAAAAAAAAGAAAAGTTTTAAATTTAAAAAAAAAAATGTACAAAAATTAAAAAAAAAATATATATTTGTAAATTTTTAATTTCTTAAAAAGTGAACATTTTATTGCTTTTGTGACTTTTGAAATAATTTCTTGAGTGTGATTTGTTTGTTTTGAAAATCAATCAATCGAATGTTGTGTTGTAGATACAACCCCCCGTTTCCATCCCGCCCCCGAGAACCCCCGCTCCCGCCCTCTGTAGATACCACCACCCCCGCCGCTCACCCAAACCCCTTGCACTTATGATTTTCCAGCACGTCACACGCGCCCCACCTCGCCGCCGCCGCCTCACACACAAACATTTTTAAAACAAACAAATTATTTTGCCAAAAGACACAAATTTTGAAATGAGAAATGAAAATTTGAAACTGAAACAATTCGGAAACAAAAAAAAAAACCAAAAAAAAACCAAAAAGAAAAAAATAAAACTGAAAAACCGAAAAAAAAGTAATCACAAATCAAATCAAAAAGCCAATCTTTAGATGATCAATTAATATATATTTTCTTCGTACTTGTTGAATATTTATCCAAAGACAATGTTCTAGATCGAAGAGAATCGATGTTATATCCCGGATCACCTTCCCGCTGGTCTTTGCCCTCTTCAACCTGGTCTACTGGAGCACCTATCTCTTCAGGGAGGAGGAGGATGAGTAAATGCCGTTGCCAATACTTAAATTTAAATTTAATTACTTGATACGATTACAAAAAAAACTTACCAAAAACGAAACAGCAAAAAAAAAAATACCAAACAGCAAAATGTAACCGAAAAACACATGAAAAATGTGATGTACTAACCTATTCTTTCAATTCTTTTTCCATTCTTTCCACAAACTAACTTTTGGTTCCCATTTGGATTCATTTGTCATGCTCTTTTTGTGTTGCGTTTTGTGTTTTCCAAACTGATTTGTTGTGAACAAACTTCAAATGAAAAAGGACCTTCTAAGGACCGCCCACGGCTATGTAGAATCCAAACGTGAGACAGAGAGAGAGAACGAGGGGCATGCCCCCGCAAAGAACAGAGACAGAATCAGAGTTATAGGCAAGGCTTCGAGGCACTTCCATTAAAGATTTAAATGATAATTCGATTGAGGATGATGGAAAAAATTATAAAGTTAATTCTTAAGCTCAATTGATGATCCAAAAGTGTGACTGCATAGTAGTTAATGTTATTAATAATTATATAAAACAAAAACCAAAAAAACACAAACACAACACGACACACACACCCTGAAACAACAATTGTTTTGAGTTAGACTAGTTGAAAATCAATTAAAAAAAAAATTAAAATTAAATTTAAATTTAACAAAAAAAACAAAAAAATTACACACAATTGATTTGTACTTAAAACGAAATTTCTTAAGTTTAGCCCTAAATCCGTTAATCCAAGGATCCTGAGGTCGTACACCAACGACCATCTTTTGTACATACGAATGAATATGAATATGAATACGAATAAGTTTTAAGCGAAAAAAAACAACCAAAAATCTCTAGTTTAAAAACAAAATTCGAATTGTATAAAGAGCATTGTGTAGATATTTACTAAGTTTAGTCGATAAACCCGAAACGGCGGAAGCCAAGCGAACAAAAACTCTAGGTAAAAAAATTCCAATCAATTATATGTTCATTCATCGAAAAGAAGCTATCGAATAAAACAATCGTAGGAAGAAAATCCTCTGCAAAGCACACACTCAGAAAAGAAACAAAAACCTAAAAAACCAAGAAGTATGTTTATTTATTAAAGAGCTAAAAAAACAGATATGGTAAAAAATGGTGGGTATTTTTTGCATCCGTTTTTCCTAGAATTCCTAGAATTATACTTTAAAAGCCTGCTTTCGAGTTTTGAGCATTTGTTTAAGTAGTTTTACAATATATTGAATATTAAAAAAAAGCAATTTTAAAGGGAATACTCGTAGTCCCGAATTCTTATTTGATTTAAAAATTAGACTTTTATTACATTTCCCTTATGTATTGTGGGTCCCAAGCAGCTGGCTCCCCTTTTTAGATATAGTTTATTTCCCCTTTTTCCTTAAGTAGAGTTACTAATACAAGAATATATAACAACTAAAACCAATTAAAAAACAGACAATACAAATACGTAATCGAATATCGAATCGATATATAGAGCCACCACTACCATATAGAGAGAGTTCTTTGCCAATAATCCAAAAAATTAACAACCAAATTTTTTTGGTTATTTAAGTGCCTTTTTTCATACGAATAAACACTTCCAGAACATCCTCCCTCTGCCACCCAGCCCCGCCCTCTGCCACCTCTTCGATGCACAAACAGCTTTAACTTTTAGCGAAAAAAAAAAATACTAAAAATACTAACAAACGTACTAACTGAATTCTACATAGCAACAATAACAACAAACAAACAAAACAAACCAAAAAAAAAAAATACAGCCAGTAAAACACTTAAAAAAATTTCAACTAAAACCAAAATTTCTTTGTAATTTTTGTAGTTTTTATAAATATTTGTTATTTTGAAAGCTTGTTTCACATTTGATTTTATTCCTAAGTTGTTTGGAAATGCTTTTCGATCACTTTTGCTTTGAATATCATTTCGATAACTAAAAGGTAAGAAGAGAAATTAGAAAATTACCAACTAAAGAAAACCAAAAATGAAAATCAAAAATCAATGAAAGATTACAAATAAACACCTTGTGCTAATATTAAAGAAAGAAAAAAAACACTACACAGAAAAAAGCACCCATGCATAATAATTGTTGTCATTAAAAAAAAACAAAAAAACATAAGCATACAAAAACTTAAATGTAAAAGGAAAAATTCTAAATAAATCGATGAATCGATAAAAATCGATCATCGATCACTTTCGTTAAGTCGATAACATATTGATAGATGCATACATGTTGTAAAAGTTGTGCCAAAAACATTAGTCGAAAGAGTATCGAAGATGAATCGATAGCTAGTAAATAAATACTCGTACAGCGATAACGGCGAACGAAAAACTATAGCGATAGTTGTAATGTAAATGAATAGCTACTAATAGCTAGCGAAGAAGATCGATCAAAACGATCATCGACGATAACGATAACAAACGATAACTATAGCGATAGTCGTAATGTAAATGAAAAAGCTATTGAACATACAGGGTTTTTAAATGATAGCATATAAATGTTGAAGCAAGAAGAATAGAAGAAATACTAGAGGAAAGACGACACGACAACACGACACCACAATGTTATCGATACAATATATCGATCGAAGTAAGAAAGTATAAAGATGAACAATTAGGCATTTATTTATAGTGGGGGTTCCATGGATTGGGGTGTACTTAGGTTGTGTGCTGCTTTCAGTTTAGTCGATTCTTCGGATTTTGTCAATTATCATTTACGTATTTCCAATAGGCAAATTGTTCAGCAGCGCGGCAGTCCAATCGATAGCACACAGATTGTAAATACGAGGCAACTTTAGACTTGAATGTTTTGGAGTAATAGATGGAATAACAGAAAAGCGAATTAACGGGAAAAAAAACCGACGTATAGATGATAAGATTAATGTATGGTTTTAGATACTAAGGAAAAGGGTCATTAAACAATACTAACAAAAACAGAAGAAAGAAAGAAAGAGAGAAAGGAAAACCTACCACTGAAGGCCACTCATTCACACAGCAATCGACACTACCCAACACTAACCAACACTTTCCCACACTGAAATGTTTAATCTTTGCAACACACAAAAATCGAACTCGAAATCGAATCTAATCGCTGCACAGAAATCCCAAGTGAAAACTTTAGATAAAGATCATATGACACATATCTTCCAATAAAGAACTTCTTGGCCGAGAAGCGAAGTTCTCTAACAATCAAAATGACACGAAAACAAAAAAAGAGATATTGTAAATACCAACAAAGACAACAAGAAATACCAATCAGAAAGAAGAACAAAATCACCTTACTTTATAGAGCTCTAAGTGGACGAAAAGCGCACAGAACACACATTTACAGCCAACAAAAATTATGGCAACAAATTGTATAAGAAAAACCACAATCACACACACACACACACACACACACACACACACCCACAACACACACACACAAATGTAGTCTTAAGATCGGAAAACATGAATTTTGCTCTAGTGCATACCCCCTAAAAAGGAAAATCCAGGTAAATAGTAGGGAAAGCCAGAAGGAGAGAAAAAAGTTAAACAGAAAACCAAACAAAAAAGGAAAGCAAATCAAACCCAAAAGCGAAAAAAATCAGTAGAATAATTATACAAAAAAAAGAAACAAACAAAACAAAAAATAGTTGAAAATAATTGTTGTCGACCCGCGAAGAAAAGCAAAAGAAAAATGCAAAAGAAAAACGCCAGAAAATTGTGTAAGACCCCTCCCCCCAAAAGGAATACAAGAATAAAAGATGTTTGTGAAATGTTTATAAATAAAAATGAAACCAAAAGAAATATGAGAGAAAAATACAAAGAAAGAGTTTTTTAATGGGTGGAAAAGAAGAAAAAATTTAAGCGCTGCCATTCTGGAAAAAAAAAATTGTAAGTAAAATCGAACCGATGGGCGGTACTGCATAACGCGTGACATGTCTTAACGCTTCTATTATGGAAAAGAAAGAGAATCTTAGACTCCTGGACCTCCTAGAACAACTCCTTCAACAGAGTGCTCAAAAAGTTTACAATGTAGAAATTTTAAATAAAATCGAGCTGATGGGCGCTGGTGCAGGACGCGTGGTGCTAGTAAACTAAGTGATAGTCGTATTTTCAGAAAAGGACAAAGACTTAGCATAAGCACGCCTACTTTTTACTAAAAATTCTCACCGAGGGGCGCTGCTGCATGTACAATCTTGCAATTTTTTCTATCAAATATCAGATTTTATTCAAAAAGAAAAGATCTCCCCTTCTACTGTCTCTCTTTGACCTCCAAAAAGTAGTCTTTGGTGGCCTTTCGATTCGTTTTGCCATTGGGACTCCGTATGAGATCCTCCACAATGATGGCACCTTCGTGCAAATGCTTGTACTTGGAATCCGTGCGCTCCTTCACATAGTCCTCAACGTCCTGAGCGTTGAGTTCAGTTCCTTGTTTCTTCACCACAGCGGCAGCAGCCTTGTCCCCGTACACCTGATCCCAGACGCCAAAGACACAGACCTCGGCGACGTCTGGCATTTCGGAGATGATCGTTTCGATGTCATTCGGATAGTACATGATGTTCTGGTACTTCAGCATGTCCTTTTTCCGCTCCACAATGTACAGGAAGCCATCCTGATCAAAGTATCCTAGATCCCCCGTGTGGAACCACATCTGAGGGTCACGCATTTTACGAGTCTCCTGTGGGTTTCCATAGTATCCTGCCCAATACTGGCCATTACGGATGCATACCTCTCCAAGCTCATTGGGACCCAGGGATTTGCCCTCCTCGCTGATGATCTTTGCCTTCAAGCCTGGGACCACTCTTCCCACCGAGTTGGGCTTCTTGTCAAAGTGATAGTTAATGGTACCCATGGCTCCCAGTTCCGTGAATCCATACATGAAGTTCAGACAGTCGCTGCTCAAGCGACTTCTGATCTGTTTCTGGGTCTCCACCGAAGAGCGTCCACCTCCAAAAACGAATTGACGGATGCTCGGCAAGTCGGCGCCTTCAAACTCAGGACAATTTGCCATTTGCGCCATCTGTGAGGGTCCCTGTATGAGCCAGGTAATCTTGTACTCCTCTATGAGCCGCATCATGTGGACAGGATCGAAGACATTGTCTGCGATAATCCTCGTAGTGCTGAAAATTCCAGATGTTATTGTTGTCAAGAGGCCAGTGATCCAATCGAGGGTGTTGTGGCAATACTGGATATCCGAGGTGGTGAGGGAGCTGCAAAACAAAGGGAAACCAATCAGAAATCTACAGACACTTCTCCAGATCTAGATCTACTCACTAGCTCCCCATAAGAATCTGGCGACTGTTCGTGATGGTCACCGCCTTGGGGATGCCCGTGGTGCCTGAGGAGCAGAGTATCGCCAGGGTCTGATCGATGCCCTGCTCCAGTCGCACGGGCCGAAAGTTCTCCTCGATGGGGGATGAGAGTATCTGCTCGATGGGTGTCGATCCACCCTCCGGATGGTTCCGCATCGTAACGATCTCCACATCCTCCATACCCCGTGTGGCATCTCTCACTTTCTCGTACTCGTCTCCGTCGCAGAAGATCATCCGTGGGTGTGTGATGGAAAAGAGCTTCTCGATGGTGCCCCGATCGTAGGCGATGTTCAGCGAGTGGAAGGCGATGCCGTTGAAGAAGCAGCCATACGCGACGGCAGGGATATGGCTGGTATTCCTGGCTATAATCCCCACGATGTCCGACTGGAGGAGACCCTTCGATCGCATATACGAGGCCACGCGCATCGCATTCGAGTGGAGCTCCTCTCGGATGAGGATTGTCTCCTCTGTGGTGGATATCTGGAAGATACAAACACATGTATCTCTCTCTTGTGGGATAGATGGATGTAACAGATACTCACTTGGGCAATCAGCTTTGGATGCCTCCGCATCTCATGGAAGATAATCTCCCCAATGGACAGATCCGGGGCAAAGTACTCTTCGATCTCCGATCCACTCCAGATCTTGAGATCTCCTTCGTATGAATTTGCGGGAGCGTAAGGCATGGCCTGCAATTGTTCTATCGGGTCGTCTGCTGCTCGACTGGTGACAAGTGGCGACTGCAGTCGCGTTTTTATACAATTTTCGCATTGTTTCTGTTTGCCTTTACTGGATATGGGCTTTACTTAGCACACACTTACACTTTCAGCTTACATGCACTTTTACAGTTAAGTTTTGATTACGGGCGGCACTTGATTCCAGAGCAGTTGTGCCTGTGTGCCGTGCGCGATCTCAATGCATCTGCTAAATGCATGACACAGCAAGAGGCAGGGGCAGGGGCCGCTGCATCGCTGCATATTACATCATCATCATCGTCTGTGGAGGCTGCTCTGCTCTGCCTGCATGACTAGACGGGAATTGGGTGTTTTGTTTGCGATTTCATCGCGTGCTTATTATAAAATTAACTTCAATCTTCGATTGGAAAATGATAGGCTAGAGCAAACAGCGGCAGGGTTCTACTAATACTGAAAGATACAGATACTTGTTTCACAGATACAAATAGGTATCAAAAAGATACATGACTTAATCGCTTAAGCTGTTTTTTATACCCGATACTCAAAATGAGTATTGGGGTATATTAGATTTGTGGTGAAAGTGGATGTGTGTAACGTCCAGAAGGAATCGTTTCCGACCCCATAAAGTATAAATTCTTGATCAGCATCAATAGCGGAGTCGATCGAGCCCTGTCTGTCTGTCCGTCCGTCTGTCCGTCCCCTTCAGCGCCTAGTGCTCAAAGACTATAAGAGCTAGAGCAACGATGTTTTGGATCCAGACTTCTGTGATATGTCACTGCTACAAAAATATTTCAAAACTTTGCCCCGCCCACTTCCGCCCCCACAAAGGGTGAAAATCTGTGGCATCCACAATTTTAAAGATACGAGAAAACTAAAAACGCAGAACCGTAGAAGATGACTATATCTTACAGAGTGCAAAATCTGAACCAGATCGTATAATTATTATAGCCAGAATCACGAAAACAATTTCACTCTTTCTCGCTCTGTCTCACTCTAACACACAGGTTTCATGGTCGGTTTTGCCAATTGCAAAATATGAGTTCAAGGATCTCAGAACCCATAAGAGCTAGAGCAACCAAATTTGGTATCCACACTCCTGTGATATCGGACCTTGACCGTTTCGTGTCCAACTTTCACCACACCCCCTTCCGCCCCCGCAAAGGACGAAAATCTGGGGCATTCACAAATCTCAGAGACTATTAAGGCTAGAGTAAGCAAATTTGGTATCCGCACTTCTGTTAGATATCACTATAAAACGTATATCTCAGAATTTCGCCCCACCCCCATCCGCCCCCACAAATGACGAAAATCTGTTGCATCCACAATATTGCAGATTCGAGTAAACTAAAAACGCAGAATCATAGAGAATGACCATATCTATCAGATTGCTGAATCTGAATCAGATCAGATCATTTTTATAGCCAAAGGAAACAAATCAATTTGCAGTGGCTACGCAGCGCGTGACGTCACGCTCAGACTGATTTTCTGTCTCTCTCGCACGCACTCTTTGTCGTGTCGTTCAATATTAGCGGCGTCTGCCGGAGGGGGCAATACTGACTAAGTATCGGGTATAACCGTAGAGTTGCGGTGTCCGCAGCAACTCACAAGGTTCCCACTCGTTTCAAAATAATTTCTGGTATATTTTTGAGTCTTTCAGATATGTGGATCCTCCTTTGTGACGCAGGTACACATAGATATGTATCTTTGTTTAGTTAAAGAAAATACTAAAATGTATGCAAATATACACATTTAAAATAACCTAATGGATTCCTTGTTGTATCCTTCAATCATTTAATTCCGATCCTTAACTTCCAAGAAGTACGCCTTGGTGGACATTCGATTCGTTTTGCCATTGGGACTGCGCTTCAGATCCTCCATGATGATGGCCCCGCCATTCAAATGCTTGTACTTGGCATCCGTGTGGCCCCTCACATAGTCCACAATGTCCTGGGCTTTCAGATCACTCCCCTGCCGCTTGACAACTGCGGCGGCTGCCTCATCCCCGTTGATTGGGTCCCAGACGCCAAAGACACAGACCTCGGCGACATCTGGCATTTCGGAGATGATCGTTTCGATGTCATTCGGATAGTACATGATGTTCTGGTACTTCAGCATGTCCTTTTTCCGCTCCACAATGTAGAGGAAGCCATCGTCATCCATGTAGCCGAGGTCCCCCGTGTGGAACCATCCGTGGGAGTCGCGCACTTTGTGGCTTTCCTCAGGATTGCCGTAGTATCCCGCCCAGTGCTGGCCATTGCGGATGCACACCTCCCCGACCTCATCGCGATCCAGGGACTCGCCTTCTTCCGAGATTATCTTGGCCTTCAAGCCACTCACCAGGCGACCCACAGAGTTGGGCTTCTCATCGAAGTGATAGTTCATGGTCGCCATGGCCCCCAATTCCGTGAATCCGTAGGCGAAATGGAGACAGTCGCTGCTCAGGCGACTCCTGATCAGATGCTGTGTCTCCACGGAAGCCCTGCCTCCTCCAAAAAGGTATTTCCTGATGCTGGAGAAGTCCGTGGACTCGAATTCCCGAGAATTTACCATCATGGCCATGTGGGAGGGCGCCTGCAAGATCCACGTGATCCTGTACTCCTCGATCAAGCGCATCATGTAGACCGGATCGAAGACATTATCCGCGAGAATCCTTGTAGTGCTGTAGACTCCCGATGTAACGGTTGTCAAGAGCCCAGTGATCCAGTCGAGGCTGCTATGGGTATACTGAATATCCGCGGTGGTTAGGTCCCTATAAATGCACGAAAGGATGGATTGATATCCGAGAGATTGTATCTGCAATAAACTTACTGGCTGCCGGCGAGTATCTGTCGACTGTTGGTGATGGTCACCGCCTTGGGGATGCCCGTGGTGCCCGAGGAGCAGAGTATCGCCAGAGTCTGATCGATGCCCTGCTCCAGTCGCACGGGCCGAAAGTTCTCCTCGATGGGGGATGAGAGTATCTGCTCGATGGGTGTCGATCCACCCTCCGGATGGTTCCGCATCGTAACGATCTCCACATCCTCCATACCCCGTGTGGCATCTCTCACTTTCTCGTACTCGTCTCCGTCGCAGAAGATCATCCGTGGGTGTGTGATGGAAAAGAGCTTCTCGATGGTGCCCCGATCGTAGGCGATGTTCAGCGAGTGGAAGGCGATGCCGTTGAAGAAGCAGCCATACGCGACGGCAGGGATATGGCTGGTATTCCTGGCTATAATCCCCACGATGTCCGACTGAAGGAGACCCTTCGATCGCATATACGAGGCCACGCGCATTGCATTCGAGTGGAGCTCCTCTCGGGTGAGGATTGTCTCCTCTGTGGTGGATATCTGGAAGATGCAAACACATGTATCTCTCTCTTGTGGGATAGATGGATGTAACAGATACTCACTTGGGCAATCAGCTTTGGATGCCTCCGCATCTCATGGAAGATAATCTCCCCAATGGACAGATCCGGGGCAAAGTACTCTTCGATCTCCGATCCACTCCAGATCTTGAGATCTGCATCGTAGGAGTTTGCTAGGACGTAAGGCATTCCGTGCGTGCACTTTTCTTGGCTTTCAACTGTTTTACTGAACTGTTAATAGATCCCGAGTGCCGAGGCTCTTTTATACCCAAATAATAACAAACGAGGGGGAACGTTGTGAGTTGCTGCGGACACCGCAACTCTACAGTTATACCCGATACTAAGTCAGTATGGCTTTCCTCCGGCAGACGCCGCTAATATTTAACGACACGACAAAGAGTGCGTGCGAGAGAGACAGAAAATCAGTCTGAGCGTGACGTCGGGCGCTGCGTAGCCACTGCAAATTGATTTGTTCCTTTTGGCTACAAAAATTATCTGATCTGATCCAGATTCAGCAATCTGATAGATATGGTCGTTATCTATGATTCCCCGTTTTTAGTTTTCTCGAATCTGCAATATTGTGGATGCAACAGATTTTCGTCCTTTGTGTGGGCGGAAGGGGGTGGGGCGAAATTTTGAGATACACGTTTTATAGTGAGATCTAAGAGAAGTGCGGATTCCAAATTTCGTTACTCTAGCGTTAATAGTCTTTGAGATTTGTGAATATCCCCAGATTTGCATCCTTTGCGGGGGCGGAAGGGGGTGTGGCGAAATTTTGAAACAAACTCGTCTCGGTCTGATATATTAGGAGTGTGGATACCAAATTTGGTTGCTCTAGCTTTTATAGTCTCTGAGATCTAGGCGCTAATGTTTTACTCTAAGCAAAGCCGCCTATGCTACCTGTGTGTTAGAGAGAGACAGGGCGAGAAAAAATGAAATTGTTTTCTTGATGCTGGCTATAATAGTAATACGATCCAATTCAGATTCTGCAGTCTAAAAGATATGGTCATTTTCTACGATTCTGCGTTTTTTGTTTTCTCGTATCTTTAAAATTGTGGATGCCACAGATTTTCGCCCTTTGTGGGGGCGGAAGTGGGCGGGGCAAAGTTTTGAAATATTTTTGTAGCAGTGACATATCACAGAAGTCTGGATCCAAAACATCGTTACTCTAGCTCTTATAGTCTTTGAGCATTAGGCGCTGAAGGGGACGGACAGACGGACAGACGGACAGACGGACAGACGGACGGACGGACAGACAGACAGGGCTCAATCGACTCGGCTATTGATGCTGATCAAGAATATATATACTTTATAGGGTCGGAAACGATTCCTTCTGGACGTTACACACATCCACTTTTACCACAAATCTAATATACCCCAATACTCATTTTGAGTATCGGGTATAAAAACGAGGGGGAACGTTGTGAGTTGCTGCGGACACCGCAACTCTACGGTTATACCCGATACTAAGTCAGTATGGCTCTCCTCCGGCAGACGCCGCTAATATTTAACGACACGACAAAGAGTGCGTGCGAGAGAGACAGAAAATCAGTCTGAGCGTGACGTCGGGCGCTGCGTAGCCACTTCAAATTGATTTGTTCCTTTTGGCTATAAAAATGATCTGATCTGATCCAGATTCACCAATCTGATAGATATGGTCATTATCTATGATGCTGCGTTTTTAGTTTTCTCAAATCTGCAATATTGTGGATGCAACAGATTTTCGTCCTTTGTGGGGGCGCAAGGGGGTGAGGCGAAATTTTGAGATATACGTTTTATAGTGAGATCTAACAGGAGTACGGACACTAAATTTGGTTACTCTAGCCTTAATACTCTCTGAGATTTGTGAATATCCCCAGATTTGCATCCTTTGCGGGGGCGGAAGGGGGTGTGGCGAAATTTTGAAACAAACTCGTCTCGGTCCGATATATTAGGAGTGTGGATACCAAATTTGGTTGCTCTAGCTTTTATAGTCTCTGAGATCTAGGCGCTAATGTTTTACTCTAAGCAAAGCCGCCTATGCTACCTGTGTTAGAGAGAGACAGGACGAGAAAAAATGAAATTGTTTTCTTGATGCTGGCTATAATAATAATACGATCCAATTCAGATTCTGCAGCATAAAAGATATGGTCATTCTCTACGATTCTGCGTTTTTGGTTTTCTCGTATCTTTAAAATTGTGGATGCCACAGATTTTCGCCCTTTGAGGGGGCGGAAGTGGGCGGGGCAAAGTTTTGAAATATTTTGGTAGCAGTGACATATCACAGAAGTCTGGATCCAAAACATCGTTGCTCTAGCTCTTATAGTCTTTGAGCATTAGGCGCTGAAGGGGACGGACAGACGGACAGACGGACGGACGGACAGACGGACAGACGGACAGACAGACATGGCTCAATCGACTCGGCTATTGATGCTGATCAAGAATATATATACTTTATGGGGTCGGAAACGATTCCTTCTGGACGTTACACACATCCACTTTTACCACAAATCTAATATACCCCAATACTCATTTTGAGTATCGGGTATAAAAAAACCAAGAGATACGTAATCTCACAGATTGCAACGTAACGGAAGATAGGGAACTGGTCCAAAGTCAAAGCTTCGCTTCTTTCACCATTTCTGTTTACGAAGTTAACATCACATCACAACAAAGTTCTGGAAATGGAAAATTATGAAGATAAATCCGCGGTAATGCTCGTAAAAAAGTCATGGGTCCCGTGCTCCGAAAAAACAGGTCATATTCTGCATTTGCTTATCGCATTACATGTTGGGAATCCAAGTCCAACTTTCTGCGATATCATTCTTATACGTAGGCATCTATGTATGTATATTGTATCTGGTATCTGCGGGGGAGCAGCGTTTACGGCATGACAATCGTATCTCTGTTGGAGATGGTGGGGCTATCTATAAAATTGCGATGCTCTGTAATAAAGTATTAGGAAAAGGTCTGATAACGTGCAAGTATCTAAAGATATGGATATTTAAGGGTATCTATTGTTTGATTCGCTTGTAAGAATATCTTCTCTATGTTTTATTGGATATTTTATGAAGATATGCTTGAATATATGATCAAAAATTGGACACCCTGCAATGATGAGCAAGGTACGACTTTTCCTCAAGCGAATTCTTATACAAATTATAAATAACTATGAATGTGGAAGCCCCGGGGTGCGAGGAGAATGCCAACCGACCTACCTTCCAGTTAGTTCGAGTCTTTTATGGATAAAGATGCAGAGAGCCTAGTGAATGAATTCTACTGAAAATCCTGAAAATACTGAAAAACACTTGTATATTCAAAAAAGAGGGGGTACACAGGCTTCCACTTCCTTACCTCTCATAAATATACACCTCGTTGTACATTACATGGGTCGCAATGCCCCTACCCTCTTTGATACCCTGCAAATTGACCCCAACCTCATTTCCCATACATGTTGCCAAGAAAAAATGATGCTGCGCAACATATACTTTTGTTGCGAATATCAGAATGAGAATATGTGACAGTAGAATGTTGCAAAATTGTGGTTTTCAGGTTTCATTTATTGCCGCTTTCTAGTGGCGCCATAACTTTAAAATTTTTTCAGCAAAAAGGCGCCAGGCTCCGCTTAGTTCCAAAGTAAAGTAATAGACGGCGCCAGTGGTGCCAAAGGAAATTTATTAAAAAGTGGATTTAAATTCAAATAATTAAAAAAAAATATATATAAAAAAATTATTGATAAACAAAATAAATCTAGAAAAATATTTAAAAATATTTCACAAAATATACTACCCAAGTATTCCCCAAAATAAGCAAGAAAACACCTTCTTCTTGAGATTCTATCAATACTGAAGATACAAACTCCCCTAAAACTCCCTAAGACACCTTTTAACCCCCCAAAAGACAATTATTTATTCAATAAACGCCTGATCTGAACCATTACACAACTTTGTATGAATAATCATCTGATCATTGGATGCTGTGCTGACAGCAACAAAAAAAGATACATCTCGTGTCAAGCGAAAGCGTTTTGTCGTCGAAATATATCCGGACACTTTAACTGCTGCTAAATTGCCGAGACCCGTCTAATTCCGATTCCATTGCCAATTTTGCGTGACCTTTAAATAGGAGCCGCTGCCGGGCAGCCTCTGCCAGTTGCAATCCAAATTCTGAATGAAAAATGTTGCATTCCCCAACGAAGTACGATCCGAAGGAGCACATCTGGAGCGGTGCCCGGCTGCAGGGACTCTACAATGAAGACTTGACCGTTGGACAGATCATCTTTCGACAGCTCCGGCGGGAGCCGCAGAGGATTTTCCAAATATCGCACACGGATAATACGAGGCTAACGCGTGGCCAGATGCTGGAGAATGCCTGCAAAATGGGGGCCTATCTGAGGGGACAAAAGTTCACGATGGCGACGGATATTGTGGGTCTGATGGCCCGCAACACAACACATGTGGCAGCCGTGGCCTATGGCTGCCTCTTCAACGGCACACCCTTTCATGCCGTGAACCCGAATCTCGAGGAAAAGACCATCAGGGATCTGTACCACATCACCAAGCCCCGCATCCTCTGCTGCGACAGTCAGGACTACCAGAAGATCAAGGACATAGCCGAGGCGTTGGGGGCCATCGTTCTCATAGTAAATGGAAAGATACCCCAAGTGGCCAGCATCCCAGAGATACTTAAAACATCTCTCAGTCCAAACTATGAGCCCTCAGAGTTCGCTGGCGGCATCAATCGCACCATGGCCATCCTTTGCTCCTCGGGCACCACAGGAACCCCCAAGGCGGTGACGATTTCCAACAGCCGTAAGCTCTTCGAGTGCCACAGGTATGCACAAATGAAAGATACCCTCCAAGAACACGCTTAAAAGATAATTTTCTGCACAGCTACCTGTCCTCCAACGATGTCCAGTATGCCCCTAGTACCCTGGATTGGCTGACGGGACTCATTTCTCTAGTGACAGCTGGAGTTTATGGCACTGTCCGTCTGGTATCTAGCGATATGTTTAGTCCTGGGCACTTTCTGGAGATCTGTGAGCAGCATGAAATCTCCTGGTGTATTATGGCCAATTCCCATGTGGCCATGTTGGCCAATTGTTCGCAAACCAAGGCCCAAAAGTTGAGGAGCCTCCAGCACCTGCTGTTCGCGGGCGGCCACTGCCTTGTGGCGACCCTCAGGAAGATGCAGTCCTTCCTGCACGGCCAGGGTATCCTGCGGAATGCCTATGGGCTGACGGAGCTGGGAGCCCTCGTGTCCTACAACTACGACACGCAATCGAAGCCCGAATCAGTGGGTCGTTTGATGGCCAACATTCGCGTGCGGGTTGTCGATGGCTCGGGTCAGAATCTGGCAGTCAAAGGCGTGGGGGAGATCCTCCTCCACAATGGACAGCCTTGGAGCGGATACTTCGGCAATCCCAAGGCCACGGCAGAGATGCAGGACCCCGCAGGATGGTTCCACACCGGCGATGTGGGCTTCTTTGATCAGGACAGCTATCTGCACATCGTGGAGCGCAAAAAAGACATGCTAAAGTATCTGGGAATGATGTACTATCCGCATGAGATCGAGGAAGTGATCGCCCAAATGCCTGACGTCTCGGAGGTCTGTGTTTTTGGCCTTTGGCGCGAACAGGAAGGCGACGCGGCCGCTGCCTCGGTGGTGCTTCGTCCTGAAAGCCGTATCAAGGCCTTCGAAGTGGAGGCTTTTGTGCGGGACAACATCACCGTGCCGTTCAAGCATCTCCACGGTGGGGTGCAGATCGTGCAGCAGTTGGCCAAGAGCGCCAATGGAAAGGTCAATCGTTCGGCGGTCAGAGAAAACTACATAAAGAGGGGCTCCTCCTCCTCCAGCGCTTAGATGGGCCCCCACAGATACGCAACAACGAGTTTCACTATTCAAAAGATACAGATACAAAATGTAAGTGGAAGTGTAAAAGCGGCCGGGAGGGGGGCTCTGATAAGCCGGCAGCAGCAAGCACTTTGCACTCACAAGATACATATTTACGTAGATACTATCTAAACTTTGCACTGTAATATGTATCTGTCACACAAATAAAGATACATTATAATGCAAATAAAAAATTTCACATAAGATTACACCAAATGCCACTGGAAAAAGATACCTTTTGGCAAAACAGAAATGCGTCTAAAAATACTTTAATTAAATTAATAAATATTGTATCTTTTGGATGCCCAATAAATAAAATTTATCTTTAAGATACAAAAAAAATCCCAATAGTCGAATAAGAAGAGTTTTTGTAAAAGAAAAAATTCCTAAAATTCTCCTCCATTGAGAATACCCGAAAAATGCTAAAAGAACAATTTTAAAAATACTGGAAAAAATAGCTGAAAAAATACTAACATTTAACGGAAAATACCAAAATACTGAAAAAACTAAAGCTAAGAAGAAATACGAAATAATACCAGAAAAATACAAACAAAAAATTAGAAAAATAGCAGAAAATACAAAAAAGAATTCTAATAAAATTCAAAGATTTCATTGAAACAATCTTTTGGATATTTTGAAAATTTACCCGAAAAAATACTATAAAAATACTAAAAGAACAACTTTAAAAATACTGAAATAATATCTGAAAAAATGCTAACTTTAAACTGAATATACCAAAATTACTGAAAAATGCTATAACTAAGAAAAAATTCTATAAATATACCTATAAAAATGAAAATTATAGCAGAGAAATACAAAAAAAAAAATTAAAAGATTTCAATGAAAAACTATTTTTTGGATATTTTAAAAATGTTACAAAAAGATACTTTTTTGGCAGAAAAGTGCTAAAGAAATCAGATGTACTTCAATTCAAATAATAAATAAAGTAATCTGCAAGTATCTGCAATAAAGTTTGTATATATAAAGTATCTACAATGGCTTAATGGGAATGAAATATCTAGCAGTTCAAACCAATATCTGATTGCATTAGAAACCCCATTAGAAAACGAGGGGGAACGTTGTGAGTTGCTGCGGACACCGCAACTCTACAGTTATACCCGATACTAAGTCAGTATGGCTCTCCTCTGGCAGATGGCGCTAATATTAAGCGACACGACAAAGAGTGTGTGCGAGAGAGACAGAAAATCAGTTTGAGCGTGACGTCACGCGCTGCGTAGCCAGTGCAAATTGGTTTGTTCCTTTTGGCTATAAAAATGATCTGATCTGATTCAGATTCAGCAATCTGATAGATATGGTCATTCTCTATGATTCCGCGTTTTTAGTTTACTCGAATCTGCAATATTGTGGATGCAACAGATTTTCGTCCTTTGTGGGGGCGGATGGTGGTGGGGCAAAATTCTGAGATATACGTTTTATAGTGACATCTTAAAGGAGTGTGTGTAGCAAATTTGGTTACTCTAGCCTTAATAGTCTCTGAGATTTGTGGTTGCCCCAGATTTTCGTCCTTTGCGGGGGCGGAAGGGGGTGTGGCGAAATTTGGACACGAAACGGTCAAGGTCCGATATCACAGGAGTGTGGATACCAAATTTGGTTGCTCTAGCTCTTATGGGTTCTGAGATCCTTGAACTCATATTTTGCAATTGGCAAAACCGACCATGAAACCTGTGTGTTAGAGTGAGACAGAGCGAGAAAGAGTGAAATTGTTTTCGTGATTCTGGCTATAATAATTATACGATCTGGTTCAGATTTTGCACTCTGTAAGATATAGTCATCTTCTACGGTTCTGCGTTTTTAGTTTTCTCGTATCTTTAAAATTGTGGATGCCACAGATTTTCACCCTTTGTGGGGGCGGAAGTGGGCGGGGCAAAGTTTTGAAATATTTTTGTAGCAGTGACATATCACAGAAGTCTGGATCCAAAACATCGTTGCTCTAGCTCTTATAGTCTTTGAGCACTAGGCGCTGAAGGGGACGGACAGACGGACGGACAGACAGACAGGGCTCGATCGACTCCGCTATTGATGCTGATCAAGAATTTATACTTTATGGGGTCGGAAACGATTCCTTCTGGACGTTACACACATCCACTTTCACCACAAATCTAATATACCCCAATACTCATTTTGAGTATCGGGTATAAAAAACAGCTTAAGCGATTAAGTCATGTATCTTTTTGATACCTATTTGTATCTGTGAAACAAGTATCTGTATCTTTCAGTATTAGTAGAACCCTGCCGCTGTTTGCTCTAGCCTATCATTTTCCAATCGAAGATTGAAGTTAATTTTATAATAAGCACGCGATGAAATCGCAAACAAAACACCCAATTCCCGTCTAGTCATGCAGGCAGAGCAGAGCAGCCTCCACAGACGATGATGATGATGTAATATGCAGCGATGCAGCGGCCCCTGCCCCTGCCTCTTGCTGTGTCATGCATTTAGCAGATGCATTGAGATCGCGCACGGCACACAGGCACAACTGCTCTGGAATCAAGTGCCGCCCGTAATCAAAACTTAACTGTAAAAGTGCATGTAAGCTGAAAGTGTAAGTGTGTGCTAAGTAAAGCCCATATCCAGTAAAGGCAAACAGAAACAATGCGAAAATTGTATAAAAACGCGACTGCAGTCGCCACTTGTCACCAGTCGAGCAGCAGACGACCCGATAGAACAATTGCAGGCCATGCCTTACGCTCCCGCAAATTCATACGAAGGAGATCTCAAGATCTGGTGTGGATCGGAGATCGAAGAGTACTTTGCCCCGGATCTGTCCATTGGGGAGATTATCTTCCATGAGATGCGGAGGCATCCAAAGCTAATTGCCCAAGTGAGTATCTGTTACATCCATCTATCCCACAAGAGAGAGATACATGTGTTTGCATCTTCCAGATATCCACCACAGAGGAGACAATCCTCACCCGAGAGGAGCTCCACTCGAATGCAATGCGCGTGGCCTCGTATATGCGATCGAAGGGTCTCCTTCAGTCGGACATCGTGGGGATTATAGCCAGGAATACCAGCCATATCCCTGCCGTCGCGTATGGCTGCTTCTTCAACGGCATCGCCTTCCACTCGCTGAACATCGCCTACGATCGGGGCACCATCGAGAAGCTCTTTTCCATCACACACCCACGGATGATCTTCTGCGACGGAGACGAGTACGAGAAAGTGAGAGATGCCACACGGGGTATGGAGGATGTGGAGATCGTTACGATGCGGAACCATCCGGAGGGTGGATCGACACCCATCGAGCAGATACTCTCATCCCCCATCGAGGAGAACTTTCGGCCCGTGCGACTGGAGCAGGGCATCGATCAGACTCTGGCGATACTCTGCTCCTCGGGCACCACGGGCATCCCCAAGGCGGTGACCATCACCAACAGTCGACAGATACTCGCCGGCAGCCAGTAAGTTTATTGCAGATACAATCTCTCGGATATCAATCCATCCTTTCGTGCATTTATAGGGACCTAACCACCGCGGATATTCAGTATACCCATAGCAGCCTCGACTGGATCACTGGGCTCTTGATAACCGTTACATCGGGAGTCTACAGCACTACAAGGATTCTCGCGGATAATGTCTTCGATCCGGTCTACATGATGCGCTTGATCGAGGAGTACAGGATCACGTGGATCTTGCAGGCGCCCTCCCACATGGCCATGATGGTAAATTCTCGGGAATTCGAGTCCACGGACTTCTCCAGCATCAGGAAATACCTTTTTGGAGGAGGCAGGGCTTCCGTGGAGACACAGCATCTGATCAGGAGTCGCCTGAGCAGCGACTGTCTCCATTTCGCCTACGGATTCACGGAATTGGGGGCCATGGCGACCATGAACTATCACTTCGATGAGAAGCCCAACTCTGTGGGTCGCCTGGTGAGTGGCTTAAAGGCCAAGATAATCTCGGAAGAAGGCGAGTCCCTGGATCGCGATGAGGTCGGGGAGGTGTGCATCCGCAATGGCCAGCACTGGGCGGGATACTACGACAATCCTGAGGAAAGCCACAAAGTGCGCGACTCCCACGGATGGTTCCACACGGGGGACCTCGGCTACATGGATGACGATGGCTTCCTCTACATTGTGGAGCGGAAAAAGGACATGCTGAAGTACCAGAACATCATGTACTATCCGAATGACATCGAAACGATCATCTCCGAAATGCCAGATGTCGCCGAGGTCTGTGTCTTTGGCGTCTGGGACCCAATCAACGGGGATGAGGCAGCCGCCGCAGTTGTCAAGCGGCAGGGGAGTGATCTGAAAGCCCAGGACATTGTGGACTATGTGAGGGGCCACACGGATGCCAAGTACAAGCATTTGAATGGCGGGGCCATCATCATGGAGGATCTGAAGCGCAGTCCCAATGGCAAAACGAATCGAATGTCCACCAAGGCGTACTTCTTGGAAGTTAAGGATCGGAATTAAATGATTGAAGGATACAACAAGGAATCCATTAGGTTATTTTAAATGTGTATATTTGCATACATTTTAGTATTTTCTTTAACTAAACAAAGATACATATCTATCTGTACCTGCGTCACAAAGGAGGATCCACATATCTGAAAGACTCAAAAATATACCAGAAATTATTTTGAAACGAGTGGGAACCTTGTGAGTTGCTGCGGACACCGCAACTCTACGGTTATACCCGATACTTAGTCAGTATTGCCCCTCCGGCAGACGCCGCTAATATTGAACGACACGACAAAGAGTGCGTGCGAGAGAGACAGAAAAACAGTCTGAGCGTGACGTCACGCGCTGCGTAGCCACTGCAAATTGATTTGTTTCCTTTGGCTATAAAAATGATCTGATCTAATTCAGATTCAGCAATCTGATAGATATGGTCATTCTCTATGATTCTGCGTTTTTAGTTTACTCGAATCTGCAATATTGTGGATGCAACAGATTTTCGTCCTTTGTGGGGGCGGATGGGGGTGGGGCGAAATTCTGAGATATACGTTTTATAGTGATATCTAACAGAAGTGCGGATACCAAATTTGCTTACTCTAGCCTTAATAGTCTCTGAGATTTGTGAATGCCCCAGATTTTCGTCCTTTGCGGGGGCGGAAGGGGGTGTGGTGAAAGTTGGACATGAAACGGTCAAGGTCCGATATCACAGGAGTGTGGATACTAAATTTGGTTGCTCTAGCTCTTATGGGTTCTGAGATCCTTGAACTCATATTTTGCAATTGGCAAAACCGACCATGAAACCTGTGTGTTAGAGAGAGACAGAGCGAGAAATAATATGGCTATAATAATTATACGATCTGGTTGAGATTTTACACTCTAGAACATATAGTCATCCTCTACTCCTCTATTCTGCGTCTTTGGTTTTATCGTATCTTTAAAATTGTGGATGCCACAGATTTTCGTCCTTTGTGGGGGCGGAAGTGGGCGGGGCGAAGTTTTGAAATATTTTTGTAGCAGTGACATATCACAGAAGTCTGGATCCAAAACATCGTTGCTCTAGCTCTTATAGTCTTTGAGCATTAGGCGCTGAAGGGGACGGACAGACGGACGGACGGACGGACGGACGGACAGACGGACAGACAGACATGGCTCAATCGACTCGGCTATTGATGCTGATCAAGAATATATATACTTTATGGGGTCGGAAACGATTCCTTCTGGACGTTACACACATCCACTTTTACCACAAATCTAATATACCCCAATACTCATTTTGAGTATCGGGTATAAAAAGTTATATATGTAGGATATATAACCAAACATACTTATTTGGTAATACTATAACTTTTGTTCGAAAAAATACTAGATAAATACCAGAAAATACCAAAAAAAATATTTAATAATGCTAGAAATAATTCCAGAAAATTCTAAAAATAATACTAAAAATAAATACTACTATCAAAATATTTGAAAAATAAAAGTTAAATATCCCAAAAAAAATGAAAAAAAATGAAAAAAAAAAAATGTCTAGAAAACCTCCCTCTTATCAGAAGGCTCTCTTTGAGCTTTTGCAGCTCCCCCTCTCTCTCCCTCTCTCTCTCTCTACCAAGTGACGTAGGAATCGCATTGCAAATCGTAATCGTAAACGGTTATGCCGCGATAAGATACGATATGTAAGGCGCCGGACAGCAGCACAGCACACACGCACCTGAAGGGGAACGGAACCTCCCGCCAGTTGCTGCAGAACGTCCGAAGCGTTTGGACCGGACCCACGTAGACATCCATTCCGGAGAGAGCAGGGCGCTTATCAGCGGAGTGGGGAGATATTTATTTATTATGGAGCGCTCGAGCACGCAATTCGATAAATACACGAAAATATGGAGTGGACCGAGGCCGCAGAGCTTCTTCGATGCGGATTGTTCGATTGGTAAAATACTGTTTGCGTTTATGCGAAATCATCCGTCGAATTTGTGCCAGGTAAAAAGTCTCTCTCTTTGCCTTATGAGAACTCCCCTAACTATTCCCTATACAGATCTCCGATACAGAAGGCACTGCCCTGACCAATGGAGAGGCCATCACCTTTGCCATTCGGATCGCCCAGCAGCTGAAGGCCCTGGGCCTCAAGCAGGACGATGTGGTGGGCATTGCCGGCACAAATACCACGTATCTGATGCCTGTGGTCCTGGGCTGCCTGCTGAATGGCACGCCCTTTCATGCGGTGAGTCCTTGGCACGACGAGGACACTCTGAAGCACTTGTTCTCCATCACGCGACCGAGAATCATCTTCTGCGATGGTCTCGTGTATCCGCGGATCAGCATCATTTCGAGGATGTTCAAGAGTCATGTCTACACGCTGAAAGATCACCGTCTGGGCATCCCGCGAGTGGAGGATCTGCTGGAACCCACCAAAGCAGAGCTTTATTATGTGTGAGGAGAAAAACAAACCCTTTGCTTTTGCATTTCAAAGATACAGTATCTTTTGCTTGCAGCCCCGAACCTCTCCTCTTGGGCGGCGATCAGACGGTGGCCATACTGTGCACCTCGGGCACCACAGGACTCCCCAAGGCCGTGACAATAACCAATGCGGCTTGTCTTTTTGATTTTGGGTAGGATCTATGGCTAATTCCTGGATAAATCCCCGTCTAATACTTCCTCCCTTTCCTCTTAAGCTTCGTCACGGGCCAGGACGTTCTGCTGTCTTTCAGCACGATCGATTGGTCCGCCGGCATGTTCCAGATGCTCTTCAGTGCCTGCCATGGCTCGACGCGCATCATCACGGATCGCGCCTACACGCCCGAATATCTCCTGCAATTGGTCGAAAAGTACAAGGTCACGCTCCTCACACTGGTGCCCCAGCAGGTGGCGTCTCTCATCAAGGCCCCAACGCTGAGCAAACAGCGACTGGCGACCATTCGATTCATCAGCATTGGCGGCGGCAGTTGCTATGTGGCGAATGTTCTTAAGATGCAGGAGTATCTCCTCAATGGACAGATTTCGTATGGCTATGCTCTCACCGAAACCGGGGGCGTTTCGGCCAACATGGGCGTGTCAAAGCCCTCATCTGTGGGCAGAATTGTCCCAGGCGTGAGGGTGAAGATACTGGACGATGCCGGCCGCAGTTTGGGGCACGGCGAAACCGGTGAGATCCTCCTGCACAATGGCAAGCAGTGGAACGGCTACTACGGCAACCCCAACGAATCGAAGCGGATCCAGGACTATCAGGGCTGGTTCCACACCGGCGACATGGGCTACTTCGACGATGAGAACTACCTGCACATCGTGGAGCGCAAGAACGAGATGCTACGCTTCCATGGGGCCCAGTACTGCCCCCACGAGCTGGAGCAGGTGATTGCCGAGCTGCCGGACGTGATCGAGGCCTGTGTTTTCGGCCTGTGGAACGATGTGGATGGCGATCCAGCGGCCGCAGCTGTCGTCAAGATCCCCGGCAGTCGATTGACTGAAATGGACATTGTCGAGTATGTGGCCAAGCGTCTGGTGGTCACCCACAAGCAGCTTCACTGTGGCGTCTTCTTCCTCCCGGAACTCCCAAAGACGGGCAGTGGCAAGGTGCTGCGGCAGCAGGCACGCGATCAGGCTCTGGGGAAAAAGTGGTCCGACTATGGCAATGGCCACTAAATCCCTGCAACTAGCTTTAGAGGTTCTTTTAGGCTTAAACGATGACTCACACAGTCAGTATTCCACGCGGGCAAAAGATACAACAACAAAATAAATTCCAAACAAAAAAAAAAGAAGGAAACATTTTTGATATCATTTTTTTGGCGGCTTATCTATTGATGATTACGCGGGCCCGGCAGGTGCGATTGTTGCGGTGCGATTGAATGATTGAATGATGGCCAAGGGGCATGGCAGGGCAGGGCAGTAGGGTGCAAAGTATTCCAAGGGAACCGCACACATGTTAGAGGTCAATCAAATGCTTCAGATAAGAGGGAAAAATGTTGTAAGGGAAGTATCTACACGAATGCCAATTAAGATTATCGATTGAGTCACAAAACTAATGAAAATTCATGCTGTGCAGGTCTAAGGCATAAAAGATTACAGATCTTCTAAGAGTGTTAAGAGTGTTTCCAAAGAGCGAATATTATATGCCCCCAAAAAGACTCTACTCTCTAGATTGCAATTAAAGATTATAAATCATTATCTATGAAGTGAAAGTTCAATAAGAAATGATAAGAAATAAGAAAGGAACCCACCAGCGGTTCAGGCTATAATCTATAAAAATACGCAATGTATATGCTAAAATAGAGCAATATAAATGTTGCACATAGAATAATTAATGTAATAAAATATATAATATAAAGGTAGTACAAATAGAATACTGTGTTTAAAGCAAATGAAATCTAAGATGATGAAAGAATTGATCAGCTTTCGTTATGGAAAACAAAACTTTCGCTTAGTAGTTTTCAAATTCTAGCCTTCGGGTCAGCGGACTTTCTTTTCGATCAGTTCTCAACATTCAAGACAGCAATAAACAATGATTTCTAAACCACGCTTTGGTTTCAGCATCAGGATTTTTTTTAAGGGATAATATAGAATATCAAACATATAGAATATGGTAAAATTATAAAAAACCATAGCTCTCACTCACCTTTTCTTTTCTTCAATTCATTTTGCTCCATTCATTAAGTTTTTAAATTTTTCCATCATAACCAGTTCAAAAGCCCCGATTTATTTAGTTCGAACAGTTTTAAAGCCATCTGTGTATGCAGTTTGTATACTCGCCATTATTTATGGAGATTGAGCTCTCCTACAGTTTTGGAGTAACTGATGCTAAACACTTTGAAAGAAATTGTGGTTTTCACACAAATACTTTGACAGCCACTGAAGCCTAAACACTTTGACAGCCATCGATTTTTCAGATATAGTTTTAAAGCTATTGATTAGTACTCTTTGAAAGCCATTGAGGTTTTATCACAAACACTTTGACAGCAACTGACGCCCAAAACACTTTCACAAAACACTTTATTTTTCCATAAGTACAGTTTTAGAACCATTAACCACTTTGACAGCCATTGATTTTTACCCAATAGACACTTTGAAAACCATTGAGGTCTAAAAACCATTAAACACGCAAAAAAAGAGAACAAAATTAAATACGGCAAAGAAAACACTTAAGTGTATTCAAACAACACAAATAGCTTTGACAGCCACTGAAATTTCTCTCTCTCTCTCTATCTCTCATACAGTTTTAGGGACACTGAAGATTCAGTCCACAGATGTCCACGTTTTAAAGTCACTCTAAACACAGTTCTAAACACTTTTAGAACCATTGTTATTTTCTCACAAACACTTTGACAGAGATCGAGACCCAAACACTTTGACAGCCATTGATTTTTTCCATATAGACAGTTTTAAGGCCATTGATTGACATACAAACACTTTGAAAACCATTAAACAAGCAAAAAAACAGAAGAGAAACAAAAAACAAGCACAACACAATTAATTCGCTCTTATTCTGCTGCTCTCTTAATTCTGCCGCCTCCTTCTCTTCCAGATCTTTACGCCGGCTGGCTCTCTGCTCCCACACACGAATATGAAAAATTTAATTGAGACTCCGCTGGCATATGGGTGCTCCTCACAGCTTATTTCGTACACCTATGGCATATCCACACAGCTTATTTCGTAAACATCTGGCATACACCTTCCAGGATCTGCTGTTTATTTGTTAATAATTTAATCATTTTCACTTTCTTTACAATTTTCACATATGTATGTATTACACTGCACTAAAACACACTTACACATGGGACTGCTCTGGCATTTATGTGCTCTGGCATAAGCGGGACCTGCGGGTGCGTTTTCATACGCACAAACAAATAATTTTCTCCTTCTATTACACTTTTCACTTTTTCCACTGCACTTGCACCCACTTTTTCTGCCTTTTTTTGTGGTTTGGGGATATATTTCTCTGCAAATTCCACAAAATCACCATACATTTGCCGGTTTGCACATGATTTATCGCTACGCTCCCGACAGAACGAAAACAGCAAAGGACGCGGATCTGACTTCTGCTGTGAAGCAAATGAATGCCGCTAAAATGCATTTATTGTTGCTTTGGTATGTGTGTGTGAGAGCAGAGAGCTGATCACGTGATTGCTTAAGGGCTCGCGCACACTGTAGCTGAAAGCGGAGCTGAAAACGGAGCTGATAGCTTATTTTTCAGCTCTGAAAAAACAAACACACTGCACCGGTGCAAGTGCGTACATTGCAGCCTGAGCTGAGCTGAAAGCTGAAAAAGCTCGCTGAAAACAGCTCAGCTTAGTTTGATCGATCAAGCATGTTTGTTTTTTCAGCAAGCTGATTGCTGATTTTGTTCAAGTGTATTGGTTCATAAGTGATCGAAAATGGGCTGCAAAACATTTTAAAGCGAAATTAAGGTTAACCCAGCGCTGGGGAATAAGCGGGACTATTAAAAATATTTGAATAATAGTTTTATTTCTATAATTTCTGGAAGGCGATAAATTGGGCAAAAAAGTTTTATTATTTACCATTACCAATGTAATGTAAAAATGTAATAATAATTCGTAAAATAAAAGTAATACGAATACAAACTCAACGGAAATGTGGTTAAAATACACGTAATTAAAAAAAAAAAAAAACGAAGAAAACTTCCATCTGGCTACTGTACGTGCTGTAAAGTAATAATTCATTAACAATATAATAATAATAATTATAATGATATCTATTGATGCCACTTAAGGAGATAGACAAAGGGAGGCAGTGGTTTTCAGCTTTCAGCAATCAGATCAGCCGACAATGTACGCACCTGCAAGCTGATTCTGCCTGAGAAAAGCTCTCAGATCAGCTGAGCTTTCAGCTTTGATTTCAGCTCCGCTTTCAGCTATAGTGTGCGCGAGCCCTAAGTGTTGTTTTATTTGAAAACTTAAAGCTACTTTTCATCTGAAGCTTTTCGCTCTCGCGGGATTTCTTTTAATCTTCCTCTACTTCTGCTCTTTCTCGCTTGATTTTGTTGCTATTTGTTGCGGCACATGGTTTTGCATTTGTTGTTGTTATTCTCCGTGCACGGAGAATTCCACGTGCTCGCGCCACATATTTCGATTTTATTTCTGCATTTCTTTTAGTTTACGGTTTATTTTTGCAAGAACTAACTATTTATGGCCCCAAAAAAACGCAGCCAAGGGTTGCTATTTTTATTTTTCTTCTCTTTTTTGGTATATTATAATTCCTTTTTGTTGTTGAAAAAACACCTGCAAATATTTGGAATATTCTATTAAACGATCATTTAAAAATGCACTGCTCTTGCGGGGAGTTTCATGGGATTTATTCCAATAGTTGACATTTTGTTGTTAAACTTACACTGGATTTCGACGCGGTTCCCAAGCTGTTTTCAAACGTAATTAATAAAGATCGGAATTGTATAATATCCATTTCTCCAGGGTATGTAAAATGTTGCTCAATCCGCGGCATGTTGAGGGACAGTGCTGCTCAATACAAATTAATGTTTCAAGCAACATTACACCTAAGTGAGTATGGAATGCGCTTAAGGGACATTGTTGAGCTTAAAAAGGACACTGTGGCGAGAAAAAGGACATTGTTGCGCTTAAAAATTCCTCCAATGCGAGAGGATTTCCCATAAAAAGCAAATCCCACAGAAATCAGAGCAATTCTCACCAAACTTGAGCGCCAAAAAGAAACTGTTTGAAAGTGAATGCGCGACAAGGATTTAAATCCACTAGAATAAATGGAGATAGCGAAAATTAAAAAAAACCTACGTATGGAATTTAAGCGAATTTAATGAATATGAAGGGAAATGTAGAGGGGAAAGCTTTAGAGAGACAGAATTGAACGATTTTTTGGCAAAACTTTGAGTTGGACTTTATTTCGAGTGTTTTTCTAAAAGATCTCCACTGCAATCATCAATCCGTGACGAAAATAAACACTTCTGCAGATAAAAACTAATTAAAAGAGCCTCCCATTTGTGATTTCCCATAATCTCCCTCTTGAAAGATAACACTAAAGTCTCCAGAAAGATCACCTGAACAGACAAGCAGCTGATGGAACTGATGTTGGGACCCTCACAAGAGGAAGATATGTGTGGGGGATGGGGGGGAGGGCTTAATGGAAACAAACCCTTTTGCCTTTTGCTTCCAAATAACATTATTATGTTGATTGACAGGCGGCCCAGAGGCAGAGAAGAGATTGCACTTTGTACGTGATCTTGTCAGCATTGCAATTGGATACTTTCTGCCCCCAAAGCATGGCCCATGCCCCATGCACCATGAGTGACATGTCTGAGTCATGGATCGATGGGTGCGCACACCATTCCCGAAATAAATGTGCAACAATTAAGCGGCCACTTAGAGAGGGGAAAGAGTATTAATTTGGTCTCGGGGATCAGTGATAATGATCGCACCCCACCCTTCAATCCCTTCTTCTGGGGATGATTGACAGCAGCGATACAATACATCTCCCGGGCTTCTTCTGCTGCCGTTTTATGTTTATTTTCAATGTCAAGTTCAATGAAATACGATATTTCTTATAAATACCATACATTGTGCGTCTTGGGCATCTGCCGGATGGCTGATCATGTCTCTGTCACAGAAACCTGCTTCGAAATGGTATCCAGGAAGTGCCCAGCCCAGGCCTCGCCAATTGGCATTAGTCGAGGTTCTGGCAGGCCACTCAAAGCCGCCTGGCGCCTCATCCGCGACTGCGTTTCTAATTGTCATGCAAATACCAATTATCATTTGTCAGTAAACGGCCA